GTCGATTGACTTATTCCGACGACCGGAATGTGACATTCTTTCCTGGATAAACCAAGGCGATTGAGACACTTTTGGGTTATGAAGTTGGCCGGACTGGCTGAATCTAAAACGGCTCTGATTATCTGATAATTGCCTCTCGCGTCAAGCACCTCAATCTTTGTAGTAGAAAGGAGGACAGTGGTTTGAGGAATGGAGGTAGCCATCGCTGCACACTCACAACTGAGTGATTGCTGTAGTTGTGCACTATCGGGACTTTCCATTTGCGATGGACTGCCAATAGAGGCCGGTGTACCCGATGAGGAAGGCGTTTGACCGTGATGACTGGTTTGCTCCGTGTTTTTGGGAAAATGAAGCAAAGTATGGTGTTCGATATGACATATCCGACAACTAAAGGTGGATGGACAATCTTTTAGCCTATGAGTAGACCTTAAGCAATTGATACAAGCGTTGGTTTGCTTAACGTAAGCTAGACGCCCTGACGGGGTTTTACCTAGAAATTGAGGGCATTGCGATAATAAATGAAGGAGCGACCATTGAGTATACTCAACAAATATTGAAAAGGTTTAATGAAGTAAATCGCCTTCAACAATTAGTCCAACGGGATAATCTGCGTTTTATAAATGCTAGGTGGAGGAGACTGGAAGAAAATCAAGCTCTAAACTTTCCATATCTTAATTTAGATTACCTATGAGATATTACAATAGGAGTATATCAGCTAAAACTTGCCCCTTCATATATTCAGAACACAATACGCAGAAATCCAGAAAACGAACTGCAGATCGATACCTTGATAGAAAATCCTAATATTATCCGTTTGAGAGTCTTTTCACGCCACCGCAACGCTATCAAACACCAACTTTTTATTCAGTATGATAATACGGTATCTGCCAAAATAAACAGTACCGAAATCTAGAGCTCTGAGTAATTGCGCACGCAAGTTGCATTTATCATATTTCGCTTACTTGGGATTAGTTATGAGGTTGACATTAAGTTAAGGTTAAAATCTTCCTCATTATGTATCTTTCAACTGAAGGAACAGTTTTCTTAGTGGAGCACTATTTTCGGTCATACGGATTTGATAGGAATAAAGGCTCAAGTTTGAAACAAGTCTCAGAAAAATTGCAGCAACCACTCTTAATAAATATTTTCAATGATTTTCAGAATCGTTATGAAGCTTTTTTGCGTCGCTATGATGCATTTTTTGAACGTATACGCATGATACAAATTAATAAATGATGTAATTTATATGTTCAGTACTGTTTATTTTGGCGGATACTGTATTTCATTTACTGGATACTACTGTATGTAAATCAGGTGCAAGGACCTTGGGAACCCGTGCTCATATTGCATCTGTACTATTGTCACAGATCACTTAATACAGATGCGAAAGTACGTATACTTGTCGTCGACGATATTCTGTGACGAGGCCGGGCCGCCAGCTCCCCGACGCATAGATAAAGATCGCCCGCGTCAGGACAATTAACGTGGCCGAGTGCGTGAGCATGTTCCAGCCTGTGTGTTTACATATTTTTGCGAGTAGAAAAAAATATTTTTTTGCTGTTTGTGAACCAATTAAAGAAATAATATTATATTATTGAGCTGCCGCATTTATATAATAAATATGTTCAAAATACATTGATGTGGCATTGGTGCGGCCAGCCTATGTCTATCAAATTAATCTTGAACCACGAATTCGCAGCTCTTTCGCATCTGTATGTAAGTAATCTGTGCTATTGTATCTGGGGTATTCCAGGCATGAAATAAATGTAAAATATCCTCCTACAGAACTTCTTCAGAGAGTTTCTGATGATGGTCAGCGATACGATAATGAAAATATTGAGGTTATTGATTAAAGTAAGTTTTAATGCCAAAGAAAACCAACTTTGGTTTGCCCTTCAAAACAATGATTCCCGACAAAGAGCTATGGGCCAGCGACAGGACCGAGCTACTGAGGGCAGATTTCTGCCTATACACAAATGGCTCCAAAACTAAACATGGTGTCGGAGCAGGGGTATATGGTGAAAAACCGAGGCTGGGAATTTCGGTTAGCCTTGGCAAAAACGCATTTATATTTCAGGCCGAATAGCTGACCATCGAGCTTGGCGCGAAAAAGCTGCTGGAAAAGCAACAAACGCACAATTCGATAAAAATATTTTCTGATAGCCAAGCTGCACCGAAAGCACTGGCATCCATACATTGCGCACGTCGAAAACAGTATGGAACTGCAAACAAGCCCTGACCCAGCTAGGGGAAAAGAACAACGTTTCACTAGTCTGGATACCGGGACATACCGGACAAAAAAGCAACGAAAAAGCGGACTAAATTGCAAAAGCTGGATCCGAGCTTAACTTCATTGGACCGGAGCCAGAACCGGGAATAGCCCTCTGAATACGGCTAACCTCACAATCTCGTCCTGGGCCAATACAGAGGTCAGACATCTCTGCTGGAGACTACCAGGGATGCACCATGCAAAATCCTTTGTACCTTGTCCAAAAGGGGGGAAAGTGGCAGACATAATTCTGGGAATGGGGAGGAAGAGCTCCAAGGCACTGGTGGGTCTGTCTGTACATTGCACACTGCAGACTCCGTTATCACATGCACAGGATCGGAATAGCACAAAGTCCCGAGTGTATCACCTATGCATGGAAGAAGACGTAATTGCAGAACATGTCCTTTGCACGTGTCCTGCAATAGCTGTTCGATCCGAATACATAAAGCATGCTTCCCCCACACTTATCTCCACCTCCATAAGACGGGCTGGACTGATGGGGGATGATAGACCGCAGGTCGCAGTACTCGCAGTGGAAGGGCCGACATCGGACCACTCACAAGAAACCTAAAACCCAAAGTTTTAACGTATTCAAAAAATATTACTCTATTCATAAAAGTTTATTCTATTTTATGGTTTAGCTTAATATATTGTACTCGAACAATAATCGTAAAATGTAAAAATAAATATATGTAATCCAGTACTTACTTTTTTGTAGATAATATCAGATTATGTCAAAATTGTATTTTGCAAGGCGCGTATATGGAGCATTTTTTCTGTCTGTTAGTCGAAAGTGGATGTAATAATATAACACTGTTCAATATTAGATCAAATGTAGCACCATTTATGTTAATTACAATATTTATAAACTATTTTTATTACTTATTTGATTATTATTATATAACAATGAAATGTGAAAATTCATTCAGTCTTTTATTTGACCTTGTTCAGTCATCTTGAAAAGCTTATAACTCGAAAACGGCTCGAACGATTTTTTTGCGGCAATGATGAAATTTGATCAGGAGGTCATGAACTATATCATACTAAAATTTTATTGGATTTGACCGGAACCATTTTTCCATAAGTTTTGTGCGTGGTCCTTTGGAGAATTTTAATTCAGTTGCAAGTTCCCTATTCCGACAGTCAGACAACAGCTTCAAGCAGCTCTGTCACAAAGTCCAGACGGGTATGGGACTGACAACAACTCCTAAAGCAGCTAGCGTCCCGCAACAGGGTCACCCTGTCATGGGTACTAGGGCACCAAAGAATCGAGGGGAATGAAATTGCGGACCAACTTGCAAGACAACAAACTGCAACACAATTCCTTGGACCAGAACCTTTCTTTGGCATTACGAAAAGCCATATAATAGGGCAAGTTCAAAATTGGATAAAGGCTTAACAAGCCTCCCGCTGGAACACGGTTCCAGGACTAAGACAGGCGAAACAACTCATCTCGCCTCAGTCGATAAAGGCAAAGGAACTGATTGACCTTAGTAAAGCGGATTTAAGGCTGCTAACGGGCCTCCTTACGGGTCACTGTCCTCTGGGTTACCACCTGAAAAAAATTAGAAAAACAGAATCAGACCTATGCCGCTTCTGTGAAGAAGACTCTGAGTCTGCGGAAAAGATACTTTGCAATTGCGAGGCATTGTGCCGCAGAAGATTCATCCATCTGGAGCAGCCAAGGGCTACGGATGTGAGGAATGCCATTCCCAGGAGCATTATCGGCTTTGCCAGAAGCCTTTATCTGGGAACCTACTAGATATAAGGGGAAGCACAATAGATCTAAGCAGATCGCAGGGCGGAGAGGTCCATATCCTAAACATCCCACCATAACAATCTAACAATCTACCCCTATAGGAAAGTGTTTTTTTTTTTTTTTTGTCAAATTGAAAGATATCTGGAGTATGAAGAAAAATTTATAATCAAAACACGGCCGATGACTGCAATTAACAGCCTCGGCTGATTATAATCCTCGGCTATCGCCTCGGATCACAAATTTCAGCTCGGCCAAGATTCAATGTCCCAATTTGAATCTTCACATGCGTCTTCTATTTATGACCGAAATAATACAATTCTTGAGTGTTCTAGAAATACTTCCATGAATTTTGAACAATACAAATTCCAGCGTTCATAAACAAACTTTACATTCATACATTTTGGACGGATTTTCACTCTAAATTGTTGGAGGCACACATCATTTTCGAGGCTGACGTATTTGATAATAAAAAATTTGAAACTGCATTAAAAAAAAAATGTTTCAAATGAATGTCTGGTAATAGAACTAAAGAAAATAGTACATTATATACCTAGGTAGAGAAGTTGGTCATTATAAAAGCGTAAGGTATATAATGACTTTCTCTACCGAGGGATATATAGAATTTTTTTTACTACTCTGCTAGTAGAAAATAAAAAATAGGTTTGAAACCTGTGCTCAAATTATTTTCTCTTGTCGGAAGTGCTGCCCTCTATCAACAGCTTACGGTAATTTCCTATAATATACATACAGGAACCAGCTTTTTTTAAAATTGACAGTATGAAATTGAAATTAAACCAATAGAAACCTGTTAAGTTATGACAATATCCTTGCGTCATGACGTCATTTTCATTATTGACCTAGGTATTTTTTCATTATTTTCATTATTAACCTAGGGAGAGAAATTCAATTTTTTCCCAGAAAAATTGATGGAATAATGACTACTTCTCAGGTTAGTTGTAAAAAAAAAAATTATTACCCCCAGATCAGATTATATTATTAAAAAAATTACAAGAAATATCTCAGAGTGCTTCTACGATGATTACTTTCTCATAGCCGCCATTGCTGCTACCAAAGCTGCTCCTCTACCGCTCCCATCTTCAGACAGCATCAAGTCAAATTCAAAACCTGGCCCGATAAGTTCCATCATTTTTTCTTTCATTAGGCGCCTGAAAAATTATTCAAAATTACATTTTCGAAAATATTTTTCATTCAAAGTTCCACCTAAAATTCGGATGTAGTTTGTAGACGGTCCCATCAATACCAATTACTATTTTTGGCTCCCCAACTTTTTTCACCAATACACAAGTAGTGGCCGCAACTAAGTGAGCTGATCTTGTTGAAATTGCCTGGCATATGTACCTTAGGTTCAACATATCTTGGTCACTTGCACCAGTAACCCCTGTCAAAAGTGAACAATATATATTTATTATTTTCAAAGTCCCATAAATACTCTACCAATGCTTTTGAGAATTTCTGTCGTGTTTGTATACTTTCCTATGGGGTCCGATTCGATATTGGATATCATAGCTGTCTGCATTACTTCACTAGATGAACAAATAAATAACATATTTTTCAAATAAGTTAGTTTTACTTACGCTTTTCGAAATACATCGGCGAACTTTCCCCCAAACATCAGACCTTGTTCGACAAATCTTAATGTATACAAACGTAAAAGTTCCCCCAAATACATTCCAGAAATGGTTTTTTCATAGACTTGCTTTCCAGGATTTATACTATCATTATCAACCTTCTTATCAATGTCAGTTCTCAAAAAGTCCAAACATCCATCATCCCCAAAAGCTGCAGCTTCCAAGTTAATGATTACTCTTCCAGACCCCATATCGGGTTCGTCAAACATTTCTGCATTGGCTTGAGTTTCAAGGTAGCATCCGTTGTGGCCAGTGCCAACAATGAGTCCCACTCTACATTCTGGATTTTTCCATGCGCAAGACATGAGAGTACCCGTTGTATCATTCAAAACTGCACAAACATCAATTTGAACATCACCCCTTCTTTCTAACGCTTCTGTAAGCCATTGGACTACATCACCATCCACAACCTCTGGTATATTAAAACCTTTGCTCCATCTTACCAGAATTCCAGAACGTAAACCTCTTTGTACTAATGGAAAACTGAATGTAAATCCAAGAGGTAACACTTCGCCTTGTAGACCTTGTTTCTCTACAAAATCTGCAAGACACTGGGCTATATGATCAAATAATTCTGTTCCAGTTCCCACCATGAGCTCATTGGGTATTGCGTATACATCAGACTTCATATCACATTTACCAATATCCAATTCTATCATAAGTACTCGAAAATTGGTACCTCCTAAGTCCAACGCGAGAAATTTTCCTTTTTCCGTTCCTTTAGGCAAGTCTTGGACGTATGTGGGAAAACATTTAACAATAGACGTTGGGTGAGTATCCTTTTTCAGTCCTCTTTGTATATTATCCAAAAATAGGTCCATATTTTTTCGTAGAGTGTCATTACTCAAATTAAATGCTTTCATACCTTCTTTAATTTTTGGTGAAGCCTTTTGCTCGATCCAATCTGAGGGTTCACATGCTGGAGGATTACACTGTTTACTTGGGCAGCTCATTTTTGATTTTTGCTCAACCAAACCACTGGAATTTTGAAAGCTATAAAGATAAACTTCACATTTTTGACATTTTGTCAGGTATTTCAATAATTACCGGTAGGTGACTATTGCCTCCGTGGTTCGAGTACATATATGCGAAACAAACACACATTGAGAATTTGTTTGCGTGCCGGTAATTATGAAAATAATAAATTGTTTATGGCGGATTATACTGAAATATGTGTTTAAAGCAATTACTTATCAGTGCCGTGAAAGTTCCTTAGAAAAAGTTAATGGTGAGTTTATAAAAAAAAAAAAAAACACTTAAACTAATTTTAAAATTTAACTAACAACTAAGAATTTTAAAATGCATTCATAAAACAAAAATAGAAACAAAGATAGAAATAACTAAAGTCCGTCGATTTTAATCTGATGTGAATTGGTGGCACCCTACATTAGAACGCCAATGGTCACCTGACGTCACACCTGTTTTTGCCATATAATCACCCCCTCGCTCCTCATCACAGAACAGATATAGTGAAATTATTTAAATAGTGTATGCACGTGATCAATGACGTCAAAATTATTGCCAATTGCAGTTTGTAAGAAATTAAAATTCGTTTCAAGCTGGGAGCTCATTCTTTTTATTTAACCTTAGTTAAAAAAAGACAGAACACTGTTGGCATTTAACCGAATCGGCCGATAAAATGACATTTAGGTTGGCACTCATGGGTTATGTTGCCAAATATTGCTGCAAATCTGCGGGTACTGATTTTAATAATAGACCGATCTCCTATTACCTGGACTGCGCGCGTCGCTTGTAGGCTGCAGGTGAGCGTCCAATGAGAAGCAAGTTTGTGACAGGATTGCGTCATATTCTTATTCAGGGGCCAGTTCAGAATGAATCTTTCCTTCTTTCTTTGTAACGTGTAATTTAACAAAGAGCAAACTAATACTTTACATATTACTTGAACTCACCGCAGTTTCGTTTAAGGTTATGTTAGATTATACTTGACATATTCCTTTGCAATGGCATGTAATATTGACAGTTGAGTTGAAGAGGGCGCTTCTGTACTTGGAGCTTTTTAAATTTTGGCGCGTGAATAATCGAATGTAATTTTACCCTCAAATGTCAAATTTGATATGTGGTTTCGAGACAAGCTGACGCTGACACTTTTGAAAATATTCTTTAAGGGCCACTGAACGTTTTGAAAGATATTTTAACCTATTCACTGTTCATTGTTCATATGTAGTCATCTTTCTTTCCACTTATTAAATCGGTTTAAAACTATTGACATTTACCGCCAAAATTCAAAGCACTCCAAGTTCACTCACGCCCTCTACAAAATTGTATGGAACTTAACTGGATATTTGCTGCCATTTCATTGAGCGATGTTGCCGGATGAAACATTTATCAAAATAAAAGTGTAAACGATGTTCATCCACTTTAAAGCTCTTCTTAATTTTGTCTAATTTAAGGCGTTGTAAAACACTTGACACTATATCAATTCTTTAATGTTATAAAATCTGTTTTTTTTTTTAAAGATAAAAGTCAAAATGACATTATGTTGGCAATACAATGTAAAATTGTCAATGCTTTCGAATTTTTTATGTAGAAAAGGCTTGTGTTGCCAACAAAGTTACTAAATTTTTGACTTGGGGAATTATCTCTATTTGTGTATCTATAAAATGCCAAAGTCATTGAATAGACAGAGTCAAAAACTCGTTGCGTCTCTAATTAGTTTCTTTGAACAGGAACGAGACAATGGGGGCCCCTTTTTGCCATTAAATAGCGTTAGAGAGGTGAAGTATATTGATACTATCAAATATAAATCTTCTGGGGCTTTAATTGGGAATATTTTTTCAGCGTGTTGCAGCTGCACTGAATATTGGTATAAAGTCTGTGAGTAAAATCCAATGTAAAATCTCTCAAAAAGTTAGGGATAATTTAGCGTTAAATTCACCAAAGAAAAAACGTCCACATAAGAAGCGGGTTACGAATCAAGATCACCTTGATGTTAACTCTATTCGCAATTAAATTTACGACGAAAAGTAAGTAGTTTTTTTAGATTGTGTTCGATTGTGTTCATAATAAAGTTTGATTTTTATTTAAAGATAATTCCCCAAGTCAAAAATTTAGTAACCATGTTGGCAACACCAGCCTTTTCTACATAAAAAATTTGAAAGCATTGACAATTTTACATTGTATTGCCAACATAATGTAATTTTGACTTTTATCTTTAAAAAAAAAACAGACTTTACACTATCCATACATATAAAAATCGATGTTTTGTTTGCTTTAGTGATAACAAATTTTACTAGACGGTATGTCAAAGTAAAACGAAAGTTAATAGCGGCAATATTGCGACGTGCTTATGTCATTAATTTTGATCACGTGCATACACTGTTTAATTAATTTCACTATATTATCCTCACGGATAGAAAAAAAAACTTAATGGAGGGCGGGGCCTAAAAAAAAAGCTTCGGATCGCATCCGCTTGGGGACGCTGGAGTGAAACAGAACTACAGGTGCGGAATGAACGCCATCAGAAAATATGTCACAGTTTACTTTGGCAGTTTACCTGTTACCTATGTTTAAAAAAAATATGTCAAAATAGTTCTGAATGAGAATTCGTCTTGGTGTTGGTGTGCATTTTAAATCCAGATAAATGTTTCCTAAATTAAAAAAAAAATCAAATTTTACACAAAACACAAGAAGTTTGGCCGTTTTTGCTCTACTCGGAAGAAAAATCCGTCAATATTCAAGGTGAGTTCGGCTTGGCAACTCTTTTGACTCCTTTGATGCTTTTCACTCCAAAATCGTTCGGGTTAGGCCACTGGGGGCAAATAGTGCAAGCTCCTCATCGTTCGGGTACAGCCGAGTAGAGTGAAAAGAGTTAACTCTACAAGCCCCACCTCGTGAGATGATGTTCGAGGAGCGGGCATGTGCACTTCCTATATTTCCAAAAGGCGGTAAATTAAATCGTCAAAAATGGCAATAATTCACTCTTTTTGGACAAATAGGCTCAAAAACCAGGAACACAAAACATGAGTAAAAAATTTCAATCAATTTTATTTATTTTGCTTATAGGTTAGAATTAAATAAACGTCAGAAATTATCTTTGCGCAAACGCCCGCGGCTCGCCTTGCTCCTGATGCGTTCGACTTAACCATTTTACTCTTTTCACTCTGTGATCACGTGACTATGAAACCGCTCTGTATCCGCTCCAACTCCGTTTTGCCAAGCCGAACTCAGCTTCAATAATGAGGAAAAAGGTTTGTTTGGATTTCAGTTCAAAATCAGTTCTAAATTGGACTGCGCTTGCGCATTTGGTCATATCAAACCTATATAAAGAAATGCGAAATCGTAGTTCAACTCTGAACTGAAGTCCGAACAAATCTAATACTGAAAATATTGACATTGGGTGAATTATTTTGGAAGCTGATTTGATTACAGAAACCTTTATTATAAATAGTTCGGATCGCATCCACCGCGCCGTGACGGCGCATTGTTCCCCAAAATTTTATTAGGCAGTTTGCCTTCTATCCGTGAGGATAAAGTGTGTTTTTTTTAAAAGATAATTCCCCAAGTCAAAAATCTAGTAACTATGTTGGTAACACAAGGCTTTTCTACATAAAAAATTTGAAAGCATTGACAATTTTACATTGTATTGCCAACATAATGTCATTTTGACTTTTATCTTAAAAAAAAAAAACAGACTTTATGTATTCTGTGCTCCTCATACGGAAAGTGTCAGATTAAAAACGACGGACCTCGCCATAAACCTTCAATGCAGGCTGGGCATGTTTTTATAAACGGCGTCGTTCCTGCTTATGGGGCCTTACACGAATCCTGTAGAACTACACATCTTTCTTTGTATTTGCAAAATAACTTCGATAGCCTGGGACACTGCACTTCTTACAACTTACACTGCGACGTTCTAAGTGTAAACGGTGACATTTCATTATGGCTGTAATTCCAGCTATAAGAAACAGCTATATACAGGCACAACAATTGCTTAAGTTATCGTTTCTGAGAATTTTTTCAATTAATTATTGTGACACCACTTTCTTGGTGTTCTTTGGTAGTGTGTATTGTCCTTGAGACTCTATAACGTATCTCAAAAAGGTTTTATCAATTATTAGGGAGGAAGAGGGTATTATTATATTTTATCATTACGCCTGTGCTAACTACGTCCAATTATGAAGGAACACTAAAGTTTCAATTAGCAAAACATGGAAATGTAAGGTTATTTCTCACCTGTGCCCCACTATTTTCCCAAAAATCTTCTGGATGGCTCAACAAGGTGGTCAGTTCTTTTTAGACTATAAAGTAAGAGTTTCAAGGCAAATTACTCAATTACTTCTAAAGGTTTAAAGGAAAATACCTAGAGTTGCGTAGTTATAAAATTTAGGCCGCAATTACCTCACCGACAAGGCATAAAAATTCCAGAAAGTCGTCGAGATTGTGGCACTAGAAGAAACCGCGAAACAAAAGCAACCCCAAAAAGAAAGAAAATTACCCTTTTGTTATGAAAGATAAAAATACTTCAAAGTTGACTTTAATATTGTAGAAAGCATTTGAATATGATCCTTAAAATCTTTCAAAAACGTCTATTTTACTTAAATTTAAAAAGAACTTATTATTTTTTTCGATACGATGCGATACATAACCTCAACATAGTAGGAGTTAAAATTTTGCCTCCGACCCCGAAAATATACTTTTCGAACGTGCCCTAGTAGTGAGAGGGCTGTTTTTTGACTGTAGGGATTCCTTATTACTATTTTTCGATTGACAATGCCAAATTCTCGCAGGGGATTATCTATTTTCGATCGACCACAAGTAATAATTTTGAGAACATGTAGTGGTGTAAGTGCATAGAGGCCATTTTCGAAGTATGACATTTAAAATTCTCATTCAGCAAAAAGCAGTATGCTGGATTAACTGAATTGGAAGATACTTTTACCTAATAATGTGATTTTGAATGGGAGTTGGTAATTTTTATCGACTTTGTATGTATGTATGCCCTTTGTGCCCCTTTAACAATGAGTTCCTTTGTTCGCAGGATTTATCTCTACTTCATCTTTACTTTACCTTGACTCCATCTTCAATTCATCTCCATTCCAATTTCAACTCAGCTTCAGCTCATCTTTATTTCGTCAGCTATTTCTTTATTACCATATTCCAATGGCTATTATTTTGGAAAAACTACTGGCACAAAGGTTTGACACAAGTTTGAGCCCTTTTCACTTTCTGTTGTGGCTGTTTATTGGTTAAGAAGAGGGGCCCTCTTCTTTGAATGTCCTTTTTGGTGGTGAACCGTTTTTCTTGCTGCTGCCGACAATGCCATTGCATTAAGAAGTTTGTGTGGAGACTCTGTGGATGCTCCACTCTGCTGTTTGATGCAAATTGGAATCTCTCACGATCCAGTCCAAAGTTCTTGGTGAAAATTCACTGCGTTTGTTGAGTAATTTTGTTTAATTCTATTTGCAAAA